CAGCTGGGCCCCAGAGGAGAGCACCTCTTCTGAAAGACAGACCCAGACCCCCAATGGTGGGTGTGATGTGAGGCAGGACAGCTGGGCCACAAAGACAAAGTCAGCACACGAAAGGCACTCAGGGAAACAGTGGAAGATGTTGGCCATGTGAAGCGGAACCAACAGGTGATTTTCAAACGGACCAAGTAACAGCTGTAAAAAATGGAATAACTTAGGAGCAAAGAAGAAAGGACACATTGCTGGCCAGGTCTAGTGGCTCACGCCTGGAATCCCAGCACTTTGGGAGGCCGATGCAGGAGGATTGCTTGAGCTCAGGAGTTTGAGACCAGCCTGGCAACATAGCAAGACCCCATCTCTATAAGCAAAAATTTTTTAAGTAAATAACTAAAAGAATAAACACAAGCCTGGAAAATAAAGATGAAGATATTTCCCAGAAAGTAACTAAAGAGATACAGATGTAGAAGTTAGAAAGAAAAGAAAATTAGAGATCGATTCAGGAGATCCAACATCCGCCTAGTAGGAATTCTAGAAAGAAGTAGAAAATAGAGACTCCAGGCACAGTGGCTCACACCTATAATCCCAGCACTTTGGGAGGCTGAGGTGGGAGGATAGCTTGAGCGCAGGAGTTCAAGACCAGCCTAGTCAACATGGCAAAACCTCATCTGTACAAAAGAAAAAAGAAAGATTAGCCAGGCATGGTGACATGCACCCGTAGTTCTAGCTGTTAGGGAGGCTGAAGTGGGAGGATCACTTGAGCCCAGGAGATGGAGGCTGCACTGAGCCGTGATCATACCACTGTATTCCAGCCTGGGTGCAGAGCAAGAACCTGTCTCAAAAAAAAAAAAACATAAATTGTTAAAGACAAGTTAGATCAAGTTAACCTTGATCTGGAAGGCAGCAGGAAAGGATAAAGAAATAGCAAAACTTAAAAGAAAAGTTGAATGACATGGAGGACCAAGGTAGCTCTGCCAACAATATGCAAATAATGGCAGCCTCGAAGAGAGCAGAAGTATTCAAATGAAAACAAATTAGCCAGAATTAAAAAAAGATGAGCAGGCTTATATAGGGCCACACTGGAGCCATTAGGAAAAGTCCTCACCTTAGACCCACATTCAGTGTCCCTTCACTCACCAGCCCGACCCGTCCCCAGCCACCCCCCAAGTTCTGCTGCCAGCTCTGCTGGTGCATTCAGAGGAGGACTTAGGCAGTTGTCAATATCTTGTTGTGGGTACTCAGTAGCTATATGTTTTCGTCATCATCTTTTAAATCCACGACATTGGTGAGATACGCAGGACCCGTATCTGCCGCTCTGTGTCCCGTTCCAGCACCAGGAAACTTTCAGGTGTCTGAAACGCTCATGGAATGAGTGAGTGAATGAATGATGCCGGTAGCCAGGGCAGTTTTGACCTGTGCAAGTGGACATCAGAAATTCATGAGAAGTAACTGACTAACTGATTGAAGCACAAAACCGTGTTCAAAACTTGTGATTTGGGACAGGCACAGTGGCTCCTGCCTGTAGCCTCAGAACTTTGGGAGGCCAAAGCGGGTGGATGGCTTGAGCCCAGGAGTTCAAGACCAGCCTGGGTAACATGGTGAAACCCTGTCTCTACCATATATATATATATTCAAAAATTAGCTGGGTGTGGTGGCGTATGCCCTAGTCGCTGCTACTCCGCAGGCTGAAACAGGAGGACTTCATGAGCCCAGGAGGCAGAGGCCGCAGTGAGCCAAGGTCACACCACTGCACTCTAGCCTGGGTGACAGAGTGAGACCCTGTCTCAAAAGGAAAAAAAAAAAAAAGCTTTGCGATTTCCCTTATGAAAAGTTTGCCACCTTTTATTTAGTGTCTGAAGGAGTTTCCCCTCTGAATTCTTCATCGACGGGGTATCAAGGTAGTAGCGTTCTGCAGTGACTGGTGACTATCCTTTTCGGATGCGTTTTAAGACCCTTAACACTTTCGATTTTTTGAAATTACCATTTGCAGTAGTAGACTATCTTTGCACAGCGATTTTTCCATCAGATCTTGGAGGTTTCACTTTGAGAGAATACAGTGGGATGTCTCGTCATTTAAGCAGCCTGGTCCTTCCCCCATTCTCTGCACCCAGCACTGTATTGCAGAGGCCCAGTTTGGGTATTTATCTTACAGAGACACTGCATTCTTCATGAAATCGACCTAAAAATAGCTTCATTTAACTAGGCCACTTGACAGGCTTTTTCAGACTTTTTCTCAGACCAGTCTGAAAGCCGGATATTATTTCAAACAGATACAATGAACATTGAACCCGATCACAAGGCATCTGTTCCCTATTCAGGCTGCTGGGAGTTGATAAGACTGCCTCAAATCACTGCATGCAGTTAAAGGCTGCAAAAGCCTCAGGCCACAAAAGTTCCCCAGTCCCAGGGCCTAGAGACAGGCTTTCCACCTCTCAGCGTTTGGGGCGTACCTTAGCCCGTTTTCTGTTGCTACAACAGAATACCTGAGGCTGGGTGATTTATACAGAAAAGAGGTTACTTTGGAAGGCCGAGGTGGGCGGATCGTGAGGTCAAGAGATCGAGACCATCCTGGCCAACATGGTGAAACCCCATCTCTACTAAAAATAAAAGAATGAGTTGGGCATAGTGCATGCCTGTAGTCCCAGCTACTCGGGAGGCTGAGGCAGGAGAACTGCTTGAACCCAAGAGGCAGAGGTTGCAGTCAGCCAAGATTGCGCCATTGCACTCTAGCCTGGCGACAGAGTGAGACTCCATCTCAAAAAAAAAAAAAAAAGAAAAGAAAAGAAAAGAGGCTTATTTGGCTCACGGTTCTTCAGGCTGGGAAGTTCAAGGGCATGGCCCTGGCTCCTGGCAAGGGCTTCCATGCTGCGTCATAACATGGCAGAGAGGGTCAAAGGGGAGGTGGACGCATGCCAAGAGGGAAAACCCAGGGAGGTTCCTGGCTTTATGATAGCCTACCCTCAAGGGAACTAATCCAGTTCCTCCAGTCTAGTCAGAGCAAGAGAGCGTTCACTGCCGGGAGAATGGCACCAAGCCATTCATGAGGGGATCTGCCCCCATGACCCAAACATCTCCCCTGGGCCCCACCTCCCAGTGTCCCCACATTGGGGAGGAAATTTCAGGACCAGTTTTGCTGGAGACAAACCACAGCGGGGGTGCGTGGGTGCTGTCACTTGCGCCTGCCTTCTTGGGACCATGAAGCAGGTTTCTGAAGGACACAGTTCTCATTGTCAGGCCTGTCTGGCACCCTGGGCTATCCCCAGGAGTGGACTTGCCCATCGCTGACAGGACGGGCCACGTCCAGGACTCTGGCATCCAATCGGACACACAGCCTTGTGAATAAAGGACAAATTCTAGGGATATAGGACAAAAGGGACCTATGTCCCAGCATTCGGAGAGAGCTCACAGTGTGGGCACCAAATGAAATACTAGGAGTAGGGACCATGCCACTCCCTGAGACGGAGCTGCTGGGAGGGTCTGGGAAGGGCAGAGGGGGTGGAAGTAGGAGATGGGGCTCCCTGGGAGGAGAAGGCATTCAGGCAGGCAGCGCAGGCCTAGGGCCGCAGAAGGCCTGGAGCTTCGGGGCCCCGCGTATGGTGGGAGTTGTTGGAGCACAGGGCCCTGAGAATGAGTGGCGGGCAAGGCCAGGATGAGAAAGGAGCCTTGGCGAGGGTGGGATTGCATCCTGGAGGCATCAGAGTGCAGGTGCTTGTGGACTCAGAGCCACAGCACGAGAGCCCTCAACCCAACCAGGTCCCTGTGGCTGTAACAGTGGCCACATGGCCCTTGGGCATGCTAAAATCTTCCTTGGGCCACAGAGTGTCCCAGCCTGTGGCCTCCCAACAGAGACCTCCTCAGAGCCTCCTAGCAGACGCTGGGGAGGTGGTCTGCCCGGGTGTCCTGCCCTGACCTCACACCGGCTTTTGGAGTTGGCCAGGCCCTTCTCAAAAGGACTCTCCAGGCTGGACGCAGTGACTCGTGCCTGTAATCCCAGCACTTTGGGAGGCCAAGGCGGGTGGATCATCTGAGGTCAGGAGTTCGAGACCAGCCTGGCCAACATGGCAAAACCCCAACTCTACTAAAAATACAAAAATTATCTGGGCGTAGTGGTACACACCTGTAATCCCAGCTACTCGGGAGGCTGAGGCAGGAGAATCGCTTGAACCCGGGAGGCAGAAGTTGCAGTGAGCCAAGATTGCGCCATTGCGCTGCAGCCTGGGCAACAGAGCGAGACTCTGTCTGAAAACAAAATACAAACAAAAAAAGCACTCTCCACATTCCTCTCTCATGATGCTCTATGTTCAGATTGCTCAAAAAGTACTTTCAAAACAAAACAGAAAAGACAGAACCTGGACAATTGCTTTTACAAGCGGCCTGGGCCATAGCAATGAAGTCAGCAGCCTGCACCGCAGCCTGTGCAGTCCCCCAGCCTGCATCTCCATCGTCACCTGCCCTCCTCACCTCCAGCTGGCCACTTTCCCCTGGTTTCCTCATTCCTGGCGAGGCTTTCACTGCCAAGTGCCTTTTCCTAAAGTAGCCTTTCCGCAGCTCCTCTTCTCACCCCCAGCCTGGCAAAACTTCTACTCATCCTTCAAAACCCCATTTTCCCATCACCTCCTCTGCAGCCTTCCTTGATTTCCTCCCACAAAGAGAATTCTTTTCTCCCTCCTCTTTTTTTTTTTTTTTTTTTTTTTTTTTTCGGAGCACTCTGCTCAGAGCTCTTTTTGAACCCTTGGCAGGACATGCTGTATTTTATCTTTTTATGGTATATCTCCCTTATGAGATTAGGACCCCCATCAAACGCAGGCAGCTCGTGTGCACCAGACATGCAATTATCAAGAGAGCGTATGGCGGCAGCAAAGCACCTCTCTTCCCCTAATGCAAGCCCACCCCCTGCTGGGTCTGCACAGCCCTTCCTGAGCCCTGAGCTAGGAAGCTGTCCCCTCAGTCACCCCCTGAGCCAGTCTCCTTGTGACTAACCTGCTGTCTCCCTCTCACCCTCCTAGGGCCGACGAGATTGAAATGATCATGACGGACCTTGAAAGGGCAAACCAGGTAGGACCCTGCACACTTTCAGTCCCAAACCCCACAATAGCGAGCCCATTCCTGGCATCTCGGAATATGCGTCACCCAAAGTTACAAGGCCGGTTACCCTTGCATTTTTTGCTGATAGCTTTCCACGTCGATGCTCTTTCTGATGTCGTGAGAAGTAGGAAAAGACATAAAAAGTCCCAAGCACTGTTTCCTTGGCAAAGTCTTTGATGTGGTTCCAGCATCTCAGACATCCCGTGGTGAATATCCCCTTCAAAGTGGCAACTGTCTCCTTTTCCTTACTCCATCTCTTAAATACCCGTCTGGATAGCTGTGGCATCCGTGGCAGTGTAGACATCTCGTCACGGTATGATCCTTGGAGAATTCACGAGTGTAGACATCGCGCCACGGTGTTATCCTCAGAGAGTTCCTTACCACCACCTTCTCATGGGTCGTAGCCACTTGCTCCAAAGAGGGCTCCCAGCTGATGGCCCCCTCTTGGCTGACACTTGGTTCTCAGAGAGGCCTCGTGGGAAGTACCCAGCACAGTGTCTGGCACAGATGGGCACATGGGGTTGGGTGGTTCTAAACACTCTGCTGCCTGGAAAATTCATTTATCCCCAGAAACCTCTCGCTTCCTCAGGGAACCCACAGAACAGGAAAACATTTTGCTTTCATCAGTGCTACTGTTGCTCTGGAAAGAAAGTGGTCTCCTGGCCGGGCGCGGTGGCTCACACCTGGAATCCCAGCAATTTGGGAGGCTGAGGCGGGTGGATCACTTGGGGTCAGGAGTTTGAGACCAGACTGGCCAACATGGTGAAACCCCATCTCTATTAAAATACAAAAATTAACCGGGTATGGTGGCGGGGACCTGTAATCCCAGATACTCAGGAGGCTGAGGCAGGAGAATCTCTTGAACCGGGTAAATGGAGGTTGCAGTGAGCCGAGATCTAAGCCTGGGTAACAGAGCAAAAACTCTATCTCAAAAAAATACAAAATAAAATAAAAGAGCATCCCAGCACTGTGGGAGGCCGAGGCGGGTGGATCACGAGGTCAAGAGATCGAGACCATCCTGGTCAACATGGTGAAACCCCGTCTCTACTAAAACTACAAAAAATGAGCTGGGCATGGTGGCGCGTGCCTATAATCCCAGCGACTCAGGAGGCTGGGGCAGGAGAATTGCCTGAACCCGGGAGGCGGAAGTTGCAGTGAGCCGAGATCGCGCCATTGCACTCCAGCCTGGGTAACAAGAGCGAAACTCCGTCTCAAAAAAAAAAGCTTTGGGCTGGGCTTAGTAGCCCACACCTGTAATTCCAGCACTTTGGGGGGCCGAGGTAGGTGGATCTCTAGAGGTCAGAAGTTTGAGACCAGCCTGGCCAACATGGTAAAACCCTGTCTCTGCTAAAAGTACAAAAATTAGCCAGGTGTGGTGATGTTAAAAATTAGCCAGCTGTTCAGGAGGCTGAGGCAGGAGAACCGCTTGAACCTGGGAGGCAGAGGTTGCAGTGAGCCGATTGCGCCACTGCACTCCAGCCTGGGTGACAGAGTGAAATTCCATCTCAAAAAAAAAAAAGAAGCAGTTACTGGAAGGAGTTACCCTTCATCACACAATCACCATTCCTATTTCTCAAGTTTCCATCCACTCCCCCGCTCCCCTCAAGGCAAGTCTGGGGCATGTCTTGCCTTTAGATGGGGCATGCCTTGCCTTTAGATGGCACTTTTGGGCAAGCTGTGGTTGGTTAAACAGGAGAGCCTTACCCTGTGAATATCAGTGCACCCTCTGGAACAGACTCTCTGTGGTCTCAGAGGCAGTCCCCAGGTACCTAAGAAGTTTGGCAAAGCGGGCCGGGCGCGGTGGCTCACGCCTGTAGTCCCAGCACTTTGGGAGGCCGAGGCGGGTGGATCACAAGGTCGAGAGATCGAGACCAGCCTGGCCAACATGGCGAAACCTTGTCTCTACTAAAAAATACAAAAAGCAGCTGGGCGTGGTGACGTGCGCCTGCAGTCCCAGCTACTGGAGAAGTGAACCTGGAAGCGGAGGTTGCAGTGATCGAGTTTGCACCATTGCATTCCAGTCTGGGAGACAGGCAAGACTGTGCCTCAGAAAAAAAAAGGTTGGCAAAGTGAACACACTTCTCAAGGTGCAGAAGCCACTCGGTGGGCCCCGGTCTTGGGAGGCAGCAGACAGGACGGTAGGGAAAGGTGCTGACCGCAGAATGAGGCTTGATTCAGTTCCTAACTCGGCATTTCCTGTGTGGCCTTCGTGGGTCTGTTAACCTCTTAAATTTCGTGGTCATAAAAAAATCAAAAGAAAGCTGAACCTTGAGGCCATTATGCCAGGGGAAATACGCCAGTCACAAGAAAAGACAAATACCGAATGGTCCCACCTGTGTGAAGTCTCTAGCGGAGCCAACATCAGAGGGACAGAAAGCGCCACGGTGGTTGCCAGGGACGAGGGGAGGAGGGAAAGAGGAAGCCGATGTGAAGCAGATACGAGGTTTTGATTTTGCAAGATGAAAACATTCTGGAGATTAATTGCACAACCATGTATATGTCCTTGACGCTACTGAAAGGTACACTGATGGTTAAGATGGTAAATTTTAGCCTTTGTGTATTTTATCACGATTTGAAATATGTTAAAAATTTTTGAAAGAAAGGAAGGGAATTTAGTGAATTCTTCCTTTGCAAGTTTGCTTTGAGGATTAGAGGGAAAATGACAGAGTGAAACGTACATGGTGGCCGGGTGTGGTGGCTCACACCTGTAATCCCAACACCTGGGAGGCCGAGGCAGGAGGATCACTTGAGGTCAGGAGTTTGAGACCAGCCTGGGCAATGTAACAAGACCCCATCTCTACAAAAAATACAAAAGTTGGCTGTGTGTGGCGGTGTGCCTGTAGTCCCAGCCAAGTTCGCTTGAGTCCAGGAAGTAGAGGCTGCAGTGAGCTATGATTGTACCACTGCACCCCAGCCTAAGTGACAGAGTGAGACCCTATCTCAAAAAAAGTAGATGCTTAAATAAATGTTAGTTCTGTAGCTGCTGAGGAAGCACAGATTTGGAGGGAACTGTAAAGTCCTGCTTTCAGGAAAGGGTGACGAGGGGTAGAGGCGAGTTCTCACCAATGCAAGGCTGCATTAATAGAGATAGAGTTTCTAGAATGAAGGAGGTGATGATTCTGCTCATTGGCAGCAATGAGTCCATGCCTAGGAAATTCCATTTTATTTATTTAGTTTTCTTCTTTGAGATGGAATTTCACTATTGTCATCTAGGCTGGAGCACCATGGCATGATCTCAGCTCACTGCAACCTCTGCCTCCTGGGTTCAAGCAATTCTCCTGCTTCAGCCTCCCGAGTAGCTGGGATTATAGGCGCCTGCCACCACACCCGGCTAATTTTCATATTTTTAGTAGAGACAGGTTTCACCATGTTGGTCAGGCTGGTCTCGAACTCCTGACCTGAGGTGATCTGCCCACCTCGGCCTCCCACAAGTGTTGAGATTACAGGCATGAGCCACCACGCTCGGCCAGAAATTCCGTTTCAGACTGGAAGCCGCACTGGAGCACATTCAAAGACGACTCCACGGCCAGGACATGGAAGGGCTCTAACGCAGAAGGAACTAGGGCGTTTGAAGACATTCCTAGTCTTGGGGTAGCAGGGAAAGACAGCAGCAGCACTGGCAGCAGGAGCAAGAGTGATAATTTCAGGAATCTGGATGTGAAAAGATGAGAAGGGGAAAGACTTACGGGGGGAATTGTGGGTTCTGTGCTTGCTGCTCTCAAGGGCCGACCAGAAATAAAGGCCAGGGGATGGAGCCAGGCTTTTTCTGGGAGACCCCTGCGAACCCCAGCCAAGCATAGAAGCTGGCAAGAGGACACTTTTTGTTTTTGTTTTTGAGACAGTCTCGCTCTGTCACACAGGCTGGAGTGCAGTGGCACGATCTTGGCTGACTGCAACCTCCCTCTCCTGGGTTCAAGCAGTTCCCCTGCCTCAGCCACCCTAGTAGCTGGGACTCCAGGCACACACCACTACACATGGCTAATTTTCTTATTTTTAGTAGAAATGGGGTTTCGCCATGTTGCCCAGGCTGGTCTCAAACTTCTGGGCTCAAGCCATCTGCCCACCTTGGCCTCCCAAAGTGCTGGGATTACAGGCATATGCCACCACGCCCAGCTAATTACTGTGTTTTTAGTAGAGAAGGGATTTTGCTGTTGCCCAGGCTGGTCTTGAACTCCTGAGCCCAAATGATCTGCCCACCTTGGCCTCCCAAAGTTCTGGGATTTACAGGCGTGAGCCACCGCGCCCAGCCAGGAAGCTTGTTCCCATTGGAGCTCCTCCTTAGTCTGGCCTCCAGAGGTGCCACTCCCAAGGATGCTTGCTCTGGAGACAGTGAACTCCGTGTCACCAGAGCTATGCAAGCAGGTTCGGGCAGCCCTCCCGGAAAGCATGAGATGGGGAATGAGGCACCGCGTGGCTGGAAGGAGGGATTGAACAAGCAGGCTCAAAGGGTCCCCTCTGACCCTGAAGTCAAGGATTTCATGAAGCTACAGGTGGACTCATTGGCATGAGAAGCATCTAGGGAGGGAAGATGCGAGCCCTGGAATGTCAAGAGAATATTTCCAGCAGGAAAAGAAGTGGAAGGTTAAAGGAAAGCCAGGGAAGGGGACGTTGGCCTGGGCCGTAACTGGGAGAAAGGCTGCCCGGAGCGGGGCTTGGTGGCGGCGGCACCTGTAGTACCAGCACGTGGAGAAGCCGAGCCAGGAAGCATCGCTTGAGCCCACGAGTTTGAGACCCCAGCCCGGCAACATAGTGAGACCCCCATCTCTACAGGAAATTTTTTTTAAAAATAGCCAGGTATGGTGGTGCATACATGTGGTCCCAGCTAGCCCAGGAGTCTGAGGCGGGAGAATATTTTAGGCCCAGGAGTTCAAAACCAAGACCAGAGTTGCAGTTCGGAGAGTGGGCTGGTAGAAGGGGACCTGGCCAGGCCCGCGGGACGGTCCGAGTGTGAAGCGTTCATCCTGGGAGCA